TGGCAAGTGAATGTGTCGTTGCTTCTGAGCTTGGCATTACCCCAAGGAGAAAGCTTGAGATCAACAATGGAGATGAGGTCGTCTTCGAAGAGCTTGACAAGGTAATTCACAATGAAGTTGGCACTGTAGGGGCAGAGGGACTCATAATACAAAGCCAACGAAACTTTACCAGAATCCGAAGGCGGAGTTCTGGCTGCGGAAGAAGAAGGGGGTGTGAACATAGCAACCAAGAAGAGGCAGGACAGAAGAGAAAAAGAAAGGGTTCTACTTTCGAGCCGAGAGGACGCCATTGAATGATTAGGAAAGCTGAAAGAGAAAGGAAGAGCTTATTAGGTGTTTATGGGATTGTCACTGAAGCGTTAATTACGCCATTTGTGAATCCTGTTAAACAGAGCAAGAACCAAAGATCAAGTCAGAGATTTTGCCTTTGCCCAAAATTGGTGGATAACAAGTGGAAAATTCAGACAAAACAGTTGGCAGTTTATCTGTTTGTTTCTTTTTTAACAGTTGGCAGTTTGTTGTTACCTAAATACATGTAAGATGTTTGACCAATAAAAAATACATGAAAGATGAAAATTCATGGTCTAAAATTTCGTTAATATTTTAATTATAGACCAAATTTTCTACATCTCTTTTTTTATTAAATTTTAGTCAATTATTTGTCGATATTTCAGTATTTCTCTAAATAGTGGTATTTAATAAATAATGGGTACTCTTTGTCTCTTTCTACTTACGTTTATATAGGAGTATGATTCTTTTCTCTCCAAATTTCCTTCCCCTCCAGTCCTCTCCTATTTGTATGATCACGGTTAGACCACGTTAATACTTTGTGTTGACTTCTTTACAGAGAGAGAAAGACAAAGGTCAAAGATGAAATTACTGACTGATCAGTTGCTCGGAGGTTACCTAGAAGCCTAAATTAAAACAAAAATACTTAATCTCTACCCATGATAATTTGACGGTGTGCAACACTTTTCTTTGTGTATATTTAACATGGAAAATTTTAGTAACGCCCTTAGACTTAGTTCCTTGTTTCAATTAGCCCTTGTACTTTCAATTTAGTTATGAGCCCTCAATCTTTTAAAACATGTCAATTTGTCCCTACTATCAAATCTGTCAAGTTGGGAGCTTTTTTCATCCATTCAAATGTAGAAAACTAGCAAAAAGTTACAAGTTTGACGCAGTTGGGCCAAATTGACACATATTCAAAGATTAAGAGATACATAGCCAAATTAAAAATCGACAAGGCAAATCAAAGGAATGTCAGAAGTTGTAATTTTACTCCTACTAACTAACTTATGGATATGTGTAATTTACTGTTAGTATCAACTGCTTCATAGTGTTCAAACATTGAGTTTTTCCCCCGCAAATTACAATTTGACACATATAAATTGTAATGTAACTAGTTAAAGTAGCTAAATTAAATTACTTTACACGACCTGTCAAATTTTGCCACATATGCAAAAGTAACTTATTACTGTAGCAAAGGCAAATTACTTTTACACGCTATGTCAAACTGTAATTTGCGACTCAAGGGAGCCAAGTATGAGCAGATAGAGAGAGGGACCTGGCAAGTGATGGTGCTGTTGGATCCAACCCTGGCGTTGCCGTAGGGATAGAGCTTCAGATCGGCGACGGAGATGATTCCGGTTTCGAAGAGCTTGATCAGATCATTGACAATGAATTGATAACTGTCGGGACAAAGCGTTTCATAGTAGAGCTCCACTCTGACTTTGTTGCTACTGCTTCTGCTCTCGGAATAAGCGGCGGAGGTTGGAGAGAGCGAAACGGAGCAGATGAGGAAGAGGAGGTGGAGGTGGAGGAAAGAAGGAGTAAATGAGGAGGCCATTTGGTGGGGGACTTGTAATTTGGGATGTCTTTTGGCCGACGATTTACAACCACCGGTCAAAATATTTGTTATCTTTTGTTGGAATTACTCGAAATTTCAATAATGTATGTGCCCTGAAAATAGTCCCGATTCGAAAGTGGATGTTGGAAAATGGAAATTTTGGGATGTGCTTGTTTTTGGGTGGGTGGGTAGTTTTTGTTTCCTATGTTGGGCTTCAATTTCAAATTTGGGAGTAAAGGCCCAATACATATACACCAATCCGTGCCTGCTTCCCCATAGCCCATACACAAAACACATCGGGTACGTTTGTTGCATCGGACTATTTCGGACTGAACTAACCTCAGGGACTAAGCTGGATTGACTTGGTTTGGACTAAAGAGTACTAAAATTGTGAAACGTTTGGTGCAGTATCAGATTAGCCAGGACTAAATTTTTATTTTTTATATTTAATTATGAAAACTTCCACTTTCTTGTTTAAAAAACATTTTTTAAAGAGATAAAAGTTGCTTTATTGAAAATATCATTCATCTCACAAACTAAACGGGGAAAGGATTTTGCTTTTACATAAAAGTCTAAATATTTTTTTCACCATCATCAGCTATCAATACATATACAAGTTGCAACTACTTATGCCTAAACTTGAGTTCATTCACATATTCTTCAATGCCCTTCAACTACTTACGTAGATCTTGAGTGCTTCAATTGCAACCGCATAGGCTACGGGGTGTCCAGAATATGTAATCCCATGAGAAAAAGAACAAAGCTTACTGCTCTGAGAGGAAATGACATCTGAAACTTCTGGGCTCACAAGAACGCTAATTGGCATATATTCAGAAGAAGAGTCTCTGCCACAGATACAAGGTCTGGTTTAATGTTGTATTTGTCACCCCTATACATGTAGCCAAGCCTTCCAAATGCACAGATTACATCGTTCCAAATGCACAAATTGCATCATCATAAATAGAATGCAACAATTGTCTATGGTCCCGCAGTGTATTTGTGTGCAGTCAGTGTGCAATACAAGGGGAACCATAAAGAGATGCTCATACAGACTTCTAGATACAAATGCCAACTAGAACACATGAGCAATGAACGATAATTTGGTAGATAATATTTTGAGTGTCATTTATTAACACTAAAGTTAAACTAATGCCACCAAGGACAACTCAATTTATGTCAGTATTAAAATTTAAATCAATTCGAAGATTCTAAAATACTAAAACAGCAATTGGCTAATTCAAATGTGAAACCAATTACCTATTTGAGGAGAGTTTCACCGTCATTGACAATCTTGGAGGTCCATACTTATTTTGCAGCACCGCATTCTTTCCTTTTGAACCCAATGTAACTCCAACCAACTCTGCCACCATGTCCACCCCTACCTGCACCCACCACTGCCGCCAATTCAACCATTAAATTAACCCACTTCACATCTGCCTACATCATTCAAATTTTAGTCAATTCTAAGATTCTAAATTATATACAGAGCATCAATTCTAAGAATCATACACAAGCAATTGTACCTCTCACAGAGCTGCAAAACAGTGTCCCTGCAAAATCAGTGGTTCATAAGATGCAAGTGATACTGAATGCAATCAAATACATACAAGATTGACAAGTTCAACCAATTGTTTAATCCAAAATCTCTAAACAAAAAAATACCTAATCGATTGAGTAAACACCATGAGCAAAAATCAGAGGGATAATTTCCACTGAAAGATAATAAAAGATTTACCCTCACTCCTTCATGCTCTGAAATGACGAAAACATATAAACCCAACAAGAATCCCCTCAGACTTCTAATACCAAAACGGATGATTCCAAAAAAAATTGAAACTCCCATTTTTTCTCTGCTGCTTCAAGAATCTGCAGACAAAAAAAAAAAAGAACAATAATGGAATTTTAATATCCAATAAGATTTATCCAAATTAACATAAATTTATTAAACCCCATTAACGAGATTTATCCAAATTAAAAAAATTTAACCCAAATTGACATAAATTCATCAAACCCCATTAACACAAACCTAATTAACAGGCTGTTGGGGTTGGAGAATGGGTTGGTGAGGAGGGCCTTTGGCGGCAAACGCAGTGCTTATCCGTTCACTCGAGTAGGCCTTTGGTGGCGAACGCAAAGTACGTGGCTGGAAACCCACAAGGGAGCAGAAGACGAGAGGGCGAAGGTGCGATGAGGAAGAAGAAGACGAAAGGGCGAAGGGGCGAGATTACGCTCCAAATTTCGACCACCACAAAACAGGCAACAACAGAGCTTGCTTGATAGCCTGGAGGCCTTTTAGTTTTGATAAAATGCAGTCCCTCTTCTGACAATGTTCTATTCAAATTCAAGGCATTTGTAATTTTATCAAAAACTGCATAACTTGAGATGTAGGAATGAGAGGAAGACGGATAAAATGTTCTTTTGAGTCTTTGACACAACGGACAAATGGTGTTATATATTAAAAGATTTAATATTTTCAAACATTTACTTTAAAGAGATTATACCGTGCCTATAGTATCGTGGATAGCAAGTTCGACACTAATTTATTCCTTTGGCCCTTGATGCAAATATATAGTTCTACAAAAAATATACCTAGCTACTTGTGTTGTAGGTAGTCTGCAAGTAGCCCGTGTTGGTTGTGCCGGATTAGTTGCATTTCCGGTGCTGATAGAGAAGTTTTTGGATAGACATGATTGAATTTTAGCGCTTTGGCTATGTTCCAGTTTTGTACACTTAAATTATGACAATTCAGAACATACAAATCCAATGAACTTGTATCATGTATTTTGCTCACTACAGTTCAGATTTCTGTAATTTGAATGCGGACAACTGCAGGGCTTTTAACTCCACTCGAGAAAGACATTCAGATTCGGAGAAGAAGGTTTACGTTCTGAAAAATGAGCTTGCTTGCTGACCCTGCCACCATAGATTCATCCCTCAAAATTTGTTATTCCTTTCATCCAAGGAGAGTAAGCAGCAGCATCAAGGCAAATATTTTTGGTAATAAGTCACCTTATATTCCCATCTTTCTTTTTTATGAGTAAAAGCAAAGCAAAGAACTAGGTAGAACAAAACCAACAGCGGCTTCAACGCAAATCTTTTTGGTAATAAGAGCAAAGAATCTTGCATTATTTAAGCAAACGGGAAACCAAAGGTGTCCACTGTATATACAAACTAGCAAAGAAGAAAAGCAGTAGTACAACCATCCTGCATTAATTTCCTCTTCATATATACTTTCCTACGCCGCCGACTTCTTCTTCTCCCTTCTCAACCGGTTTCTGAGTTTCTATACCTGAGAATGGCTGATGCGCTTGTTTCCACGCTACTAGAGAAGCTGGCTACAATGGCTTATGAGTACGTAGAGGACGAGGTGAAACTTGTTCTAAATGTTAAGAAAGAAGTTGAAGAATTCGCTGGGAATCTCAAAGCTATTCAAGCTGTGCTTGAGGATGCAGAGCAAAGGCAAATGAAGGAGGCCAACGTGCACCACTGGCTGGATAACCTGAAGGAAATATCGTACCAGATGGTGGATGTGCTAGATGAGTGGAACACTGACATTCTGAGACAACAAATTGAGAAACAAGAAAGAGAAGGTGCAACTCATCTTGCTCCACAAAAGAAGGTATGTTTCTCTATTTTCGCTCGTTGTTTTGGTCTTGGCCGAGTCGGCAAGGTAATTAGTCGTCATGAAATTGCTCACAAGATAAAGGATCTAAATGGGGAGTTAGCTGAGATTTATAAGCAAAGACAAATGTATAATTTTCAGCTCACTGAAAAAGCCATTCAAAAACAGCAAACTTCCTCTTTTGTCGATATATCTGAGATATTTGGTCGAGAAAAGGAAAAAGATAGTTTGATAAGGAAGTTGGTGAGTGATACTAGTAAAGAAGGGAGGGGGCTCCTCATCATTCCTATTGTAGGGATGGGAGGTATGGGAAAGACAACTTTGGCTCAACTAGCTTATAATGATGCCAAAGTTAAAGCTCATTTTCAAAAGAGAATATGGGTTTGTGTGTCAGAGCCTTTCGATGAGATAAAGATTGCCAAAGCGATTAGTGGTGATGCCTCCTCAAGTTCGAATGAGTTGGATCATGTCTTAGAATATATGTCTAGATCCATTGAGGGGGTAAAGTTTCTTCTTGTGTTGGATGATGTGTGGACCGAAGATGGTAAAAAGTGGAATCAATTAAAGTTTTCATTGATGCAAAATGGGGCTAAGGGTAGTAGAATATTGGTAACCACCAGAAAACAAAATGTTGCTAATATGATGAAAGCAACCTCTCACGTGATCAACCTTGTGGAGTTGAGTGAGGAAAATTGTTTGTCAATCTTCAATCACATGGTTTTTTCTTATAGAGAAGTAGGCGAGTCTGAGGTGTTTGAAGATATCAGTAGGGAAATTGTAAAAAAGTGCAAGGGTTTGCCACTTGTTGCAAAGACTTTAGGTAGTATGATGCGCAATAAGAGCACAAGGAGTGAATGGGTGGAAGTTCTGAATAGTAAAATATGGGATTGGGAAGAAGTGGAGCAAGAAGTTTTCCAACCATTATTTCTAAGTTATTACGATTTGGACCGAAGAAATAAATGTTGCCTTTTATATTGTGCTATTTTTCCAAAAGATTATGAGTTTAATAGGGATGAGTTGATCAATCTTTGGATGGCACAAGATTATCTTAATTCTAGAGAGAATAAAGATAAGGGGAAAATTGGTCACACTATTTTTGATAATTTAGTTGCACGGTCTTTTTTCCAAGATTTTGAGAAACACTCTGACACTGGTGCAATAATCGGTTGCAAAATGCATGACATTGTATATGACTTTGTGCAATTTATCACCAAGAAGGAATGTTTAATTACGGAGGTTGAGGGTGCAAACCATAAAATAGAGGCATTGGGTAGCAAGGTTCGCCATTTGACCATAACGGCGATAGCTGACAGTCAAGCTTTATTTTCTATCTCTTCAGGCAATTGCAAAAATCTACGTACGCTCACTACAATTCACTCAAGTGTTGCAAGGGTAGACACTAGTTTTATTTTACAATTTGAATGTCTTAGGACGATAAATTTGTCTCAAAATTCTATCAAAGAACTCCCAGAAGAGATTGGTAAATTGATACATTTGAGACATATTGATTTGTCTTGGAGTCAAAATTTGGAGAAATTACCAGACAGCATTTGTGATTTATACAATTTGTATACCTTGGACATTCGGAGCTGCAAATCAATTAAAAAATTGCCTGATAACATGAGAAAGTTGATAAGCTTAAAGCATCTTTACATTGGTGGGAGTTATTCATTGAAGTACTTGCCAAAAGGGATAGGGAGATTAACAAGTTTGCAAACACTGGACTTGTGTCCTCTGTTTTCTGCTGACAAAGACGAAGCATTTCAAGTTGGAGATCTGAGAACCTTGAACCACCTTCAGGGAAATCTCACAATAAGAATATTGGGGAAGTTGAAAGATGGCAGCCAAGTTGGTGAAGCACAATTGCGGGACAACAAGCAACTTTTTCATCTCCAGCTTGATTTTGCTGAATTGTGCGAGGTTGGAGAAAGCATTGTACGAATAATGAATGTCTTACGACCGCATGATGATCTTGAATCTTTAGGGATTGATGGGAACTTCGGCTCCACCTGGCCGAATTGGATGTTTTCTTTAAAAAAGTTGCGATTCCTTACTCTACAGGATAATTCGGGTTGTGAAATTTTGCCTCCTCTTGGAAGATTGCCTTTCCTTGAAAAACTTTACGTAGGGGAGATGTCGGGTGTAAGAAAGGTTGGTGGTGAGTTTTTGGGAGTAGAAGATGATCAAACATCTCCTTCATTCAAGTCATCCTCATCAATATTATTCCCAAAACTGAAGCAACTCCACTTTTACAAAATGTCGTCTTGGAAGCGCTGGGAAGGCGTGAAAGGGTGGAACAAAGGGGATTCTGGAATGACAATCATGCCATGCCTTACTTCATTGGAAATAAGTAAGTGCTATGCTCTAGAAACACTGCCAGACTTCCTCTGCAAAATACCACTGCAGAACCTTACCATTTTCTGGTGTCCGAAACTTGAAGAACGTTGCAAACATGAGGAGAGGCCCAAGATTTCTCACATCCCAAACATCGAGTTTCATGCTTTGCCGGTAATGACGTTTCATAATGGTGAGTTGCAGTGCTTTGATTTTTTTACTTGGTTTGGATATGTATGCACAAATGCTATTAATTTAAGGTGAAAAGTGTATGAAAAAATAATTATAATTATTTGTACTCTCAATTGCAGATAATTGTGCAGAGGCCCAGGTCAAATAAACCTCCAAGCTACTTGGTGCGGCGCTGGTTCCCTCCTCAAGATACGACTATGATCAAAATTAAGCTGTATCAATTCCAAAATCTCACCACGTTGAATGAGTTACTAATTAAGGTAAGCTAGACAGCATGTATGTATGTATGTATGTATGTATGTATGTCAAGCAGCTAACTGCGCGCGGTTGCTAGGGTTTTATGCTTGTTATCCACTACTTAATTTCTAGCTCTCTCCAGTCCAGTACTAGATCAAATCTTAAGTCCTGGTATTTTTTTTTGTCTATTTAATTCGAATGATTACTGAAAGAACTATTTGTCTAATAGGGCATTCATATATTTATGACTTTAAAATACTTTGAGCATTGTTATTTATTTGTCTACGAATTTTTTGACGATTTAATATTTTTTACACAAATTAATGGTGGCTCACCAGGGTAGCAGGGCCGGTCCAGAGTTTTTGGGTGCCCAGTGCGAAAGCTCAAAATGTGCCCTTTTTTAATACCGAAACATATATTTAAAAAAAAAAAATTTAACGAGGGCTGGAATCTAGTCGAAGCTGGGGGTCTAGGTCCTCACGCCCAAATTATATTACTTGAGAAAATATACAACGGGGGGGACATAGTACCTAAACCCCGACAATAAAAAATACAATCATATACAACCATTCCTAGCAAAGCTCTTTCAAATTTCAACATTTAAGAAATTGTCTTCTGGCATTTTTTGAAGCAAAATCATCAATTATACCATCATACTCCAAGTCTTAAACTTTCGGCAATTTTGTTATCCTTTGCCTTTTTTTATTTTATATATACCAGAGAGTTGTTTCATAAAAGACATAACTTCGATAATTTGTTTACAAAAATTACCTACACATGATATAACAAAATTTTCCTATCAAAACTATCATTTCAACACATTATATATTATAAAACACTAACACATAGTCTAACATATTATAAAAATTGAACCTAAAAATTGGGTTTAAAATGAAATCAATTATCAAATAATTCAATGATCAATTAGTCAAGAATTCATTTCATCAACAACAATAATTCTATACATCAATTATCAATTTATCATATAATTCTATGTCACTTGCATTGCAAAATTTTATATTAAATTATAAATTGATAATTCAAATTTTAAAAATTAGTTACCTCAAAACTCAAAATTGTTGGTGGTGAGGGAATGTACTTGCAGCAGCTTTGCTGAGACTGAGGAGTGTGGAGTGGAGGATGCCCTCCCCTGCGGCCCTGCCTGTTTAGCTGCTTGCAGCAGCTTGCTGAGAATATTGAAGATGTAGGGAACGGCAACAGAGAAGTGGAGGATGTAGGGATTATGGTTTAATTGGGACCGAGTGGTCCCTTTATGTTTTGTTATGTTTTTTTTTTTTTTTTCTAATCTGCAGCTGGGCCCTGTTGTTTTTTTTTTATATATATAATCTTCTGCTGGGCTCTTTCTCTGGGCCCTTTTGTTGTCTCTTGGACACTTGCCAGCCCCTATTTGGGCTGTGAACTTTTTTTTTTTTTTTATACTTAGTTATATGGATTTTTTTTTATTCTGGTGCCCTCTTCATTTTGGGGCCCTGGACAGTTGCCCCTGTGGCACTGAGCCTGGGGCCGGCCCTGCAGGGTAGTATCCTCCTTTCTAGCACCGGTTTCTTGACGTTGTAAAATTCATGGCGATATGGTTTGCTTGGGTTTCCTGGGTTCATCCATCCATGCCGCCTCTATTGTTCTAGTTAGGGTTTGAGTTTGTCAATTTTTGCTGCAGGTTGAACTGAAACATATGAGGACTTCTTTATGGCATCTGTGCATTTTGAAGATGTAGCTCTCGTGCACATTTTATTGTACGAGAACAAATGAGCGACCGCTAGGCACTTGTGTGTTGAAGCCATATCACATTATGGCGACTTTGTAGCAAAGGTTGCTGAACTTCACCCTGAGTACAAGATTCCCAGGTAAATTCTGGTCTTGCAAAATGGATTTGCAACCGAAACTATGTGCATATCTTATGTTTCAGTTGTCTGGTTTTCTGATAATGCGCGTACTTTTGTGTAGTTTGCCAAAGGACACCCAACACGGCTAGCTGAGGGAATAAAAACGGAGCGAAGAAGATAATGAACTCGGGTTTAGGATTCATTCCGATGGATCAAATTATCAAGGATGCTATTGAGAATAAAATAACTGTTCCAAGGTGCATGATTAGATTTCAACTCCTTTGAGATTTTGGTTTGTTTTATGTAAATGGTTAACCTTTATCTAGATAAATTGTTCTGTTCTGTTTTTGCTCCACCATTCCATTATAAACTTTACTTTTGATTTTCCCATCTGCAGTCTGCACCTTGTTCATCTGCAAATATCTCTTATTATCAATCCAATTTCCAAGTTTGACAAAAACAGATTGTGGCCAGGCGGTGGTTGTGGTGGCGGCGGGTGGTTTGGCAAGTGAGGGAGATAAATGGTTTGTGGCGGTTCGGGTCAGGAGTTTTTGTGATGGGTCAAGAAATTTTCTAGCCATTATTTCTATGTTATTACTATTGGCCCAAAAAATAAATGTTGAGGCATAGATATGAGTCCAGTTACCAATAAGTTGTGGCAGAAATTCTACATGGAGGAATTCGGTGCTTCGAGGGCTGATCAGGCTGTCGAAAACACTAAGAATGCGAATGCTGCATTCAGATGGAAAGAACTGTTAGAGGCAGAAGTGGAGGAGGTCAAGAAGAACGAAAACAAAGCAGCTGAGAAGTTGAAGAGTCGGTATCAAATGGAAGCTGATCGAAAACAAAGCCGATGCTGTTGTTTGCACAGAGGCAGAGGTTCCTTGGTCATCGAGGAACAACAAAAGAGAGAAGAGAGCAGGAGGTTTCGTCACCATCAAGCAATAATGCTTCCGTCCAAAAAAACGAAAGCTTGATCATGATTAATGAAGAAGGCGAAAAGAGAATTTCTTAACTGTCTTGAGGTGAAAAATCTTGCAGCTATGTTTCTTAACTGTCTTGATCATGATTCATTGCAGAAGACTTACAGTTCCAAGAAAGATTCGACGATTCAGGCGAAGTGCCATCGTTTCTGAAGATTACGCTCCAAATCTCGACTTCTACTCAATAGGCAACAGCAAAGCTTGCTTGATATCCTACTGTTTATTTTGATTTTCACACAAGGTAATCACATGATGGTGGTCATAAAAAGTTAAAATACCTGTGAGTCTTTCGGGTTTTTGAAATGGTGGACTGTAGTGACGAAGTACCCAGCTCATTCTCTTTAAAAAAAAAATAATCACTTTTAGAGTAGTATTGATATTGATATAGAATTCCAGTATGTCATCGACTCATTAAATATTTGAATATGTGGCACAGTTATGGACGGAAGAGAGTATTTAAATATAAAGCATGAGAGAAATACTATCGTGTGATTGTCACACTTCTGCGAATGCTACTAACTCACTAATATAATATGTGTATTTTTATGTATTATTTGATTTTATGCCGACAAAATACTGATCACATCGTTCATTTATATTATAACACTCAGATTTATAACACTTAGATTAATAACACTATGAGACAGCCTCACTAACATATAAAATAAAAATAAAAAAGTCCATACATAAAATGATAATAGTTATACCATGTAACAGTGTGACTCGTGGATAAAAAGTTTATTCTTCTCAAGACGCTATGGGTGTGTTTGTTTACCTTCACTAAGCCTCATTGGATTTGACTGGACTAATAGTTAATCCAAGCTCATGTTTGTTAGTAACAAGGACTACGTTTAATGGTATTAACAGGGACTTGGGTCGATAAAACCTTCGCTAGAAGGTCTTAGCGAGAACCCTCCAGAGCGAGCGGACTGGTAGTCCCGTTCTCTCCCTTCCTCTGCCTCTGTGCAAACAACTCGCCGGCTTTGTTTCCGAGCAGCTTCCATTTGATACCGACTCTTCAACCTCTCAGCTGCCTTCTTTTCTTTCTTGTTGACCTCCTCCAGCTTTGTCTCGTAGAGCTCTTTCCATTTGAATGCGGCATTCGACTTCTTGGTGTTTTCGACCGCCTGATCAGCCCTCGAAGCACCGAACTCCTCCACATAGAAATTCCGCCACAACTTATCAGTGACTGGACTCAAATCTCTGCCTCTGGTACTCTTCTCTACGCACCTCAACTGCTCGACCATACATTTAATCTGGTAGGATTTTCTCGAGAAGATTGGAATCCACTTTGCTAACGTCCCCGCCAAGGTGGTGCATCATATCAAACACCGAACATGGAGGAGCTGTTGCTGCTGCTTTCGCTTCACAGTACTAGCCACATGTTAGTAATTACTTGCTATTACTCCTTTTAACTTTCGGTGCAGTGAAAATTAAGAAGTTCTCTTGTTATACAAAGAATTTGACGTAGACTGGGAGAACTTACGTGGAACTGGTTAGCCACCACATAGCGTTCCAGTCCAACAATGCACTGATATTCTAACTTACAGCTAACCCAATTAAAGTGTGAACTTTAAGGTAAACTTGTCGTACACACATATTAACATTATTTTCTTCACAGAAAAAGGAATATTCAAAGGAGTTGAAACAACCATTCAGGTTACATGTCCTCGCTACTAGTACAAGACATACCTAGATCCCTGATAAGTTTCATATCCCCGCAGTTTCATTTATGAAATAAATCCCTTGCTCTTTAGGCTCTCAACAGCATCCTTGATAATTTGATCCATGGGAATGAATTCCAAACCCAAGTTCATTAGCTTCTTCGCTCCGTTCTTTTCCCTCAGCAAGCCAGGTTGGGTGTCCTTTGGCAAACTACACAAAGGCAAACATATTAGCTCTATAATTTTCAAAATCAGGCACTCACATCACCTGAAAAATTTGTAAAATTCTGCCAAGGCAAGCAACAATGCACCAAAAGGTTGAATAACTAGGAAATCAACATTTGGAAGGGATTCTGAATTAGACCAAATAAAGACGATATATGTACATTTATACCCGCATTAAACTCTTTTACAGGAAAAAACAGATTTCAATTTGCTAATTTGGTCACAAATATCTAACACATGATGGGAGGAAAAAACGGAAAGAAAAAACCATAGTCCTCCAGCTGTAGAAGAGTTCAGTGTATCTAAGAAACCTCGGCTCAAAATCAAGACAGAGTATATTTTAAGTTGTGCTTCTGACAAGGGACGATACATTCACTTATCAGGAAACCAAACATCTAAAACATAAGATATGCACACAATTTCATTTGCAAATGCATTTTGCGGGCCAAAATTACCTGGGAACCTTGTACTCAGGGTAAAGTTCAGCAACCTCTGCCACAAAGTCACCATAATGTGATATAGCTTCCACACACAAGTGCCTACCGGTTGCTGATTTGTTCTCATACACTAAAATGTGCGCTTGAGCTACATCTTTAAAATGCACAGATCCCATAAAGAAGTCCTCATATGTTTCAGCGCAACCTGCAGCAAAGATCGAACAACTCAAATCTTACTTTATACATGGTGTTTCTAGGGCCTCTTCCTTTTTCTCAGTCCTCCTGAAGGAGGAATCCAAACAAACTTTATCAAAAATACTTAAAATTTAAAGAAACGTGTGCTAGAAAAAGAGGTGTAGAAGAGTTCCTTTATGATCAAGCACATGCATGCACACCCAATCTATGTTCTCCAAGCTTAGGGACTAACTGGAAAACAATTAGCAATCTCGACTGTTATGAAAGAAGAAATCTTCAAGTGTTGAGAAAGAAAATACCTAATTTTTAGTTCATCAACCAACCACAGCCTCATACATAACAAATGGGAAATGTTCTCTTGCCATTGAGATGTTATGTCATCATACAAACTGTCAATCAAAGACCAAACTTCGTCTAAATTTATGATTCAAGTGCAAATTTCGTAACATTACATAGCATACTATCAGGCAAGAGAACATCAACTGCTAGAGGAGTATTCAAATAACTTAAGAGGGCAGTCCCAGAGGATAAACAAAGTCAACAATCTACTTCTAGGTGCAGTCATAGAGGATATTCCAATACAAATTTGCAGAGAAAAGTACCCTCAAGAAGGCGAACAAGCATCAACATGCTAGCATTGAGCCTGGGCGAGATAACAGGGCCCATCACCGTGCCTGGATTCACCACAACCACATCCAGCCCCTTCTCCTTGGCAAATTCCCACGCCGCTTTCTCTGCCAGCGTTTTCGATAATGGATACCACAACTAGCCAAACACCAAACACAATCAGCATTACAGTCCCCATTTGTGAAAACTTCAATCAGTTAAAAACAAAGACTTAGTAATCAAAGATGAAAAATTCAATACAAGCAGGGGAAACGCGCACCGAAAGTTACAAACTTTCAATAAGAAAATAGAATGCGGACATTAAGCAGACAATAAACCGCGGTTTTTCAAAACACAATTAGGCATTGGAGTAACTCACTCCCTTCTGCTTGCAGTAGTCAATGTCTGTCCAGCAATCCTCGCCCTTGACCTTATCAGACGGCCAGCTTGGGCTGGGAGTGATGGCGGAAATGGATGACGTCAGCACCACACGGCTGACCCCAGCGTGCTTCGCCGCCGTCAGAACATTGAGCGTTCCTTTGATCGCCGGGTCCAGAAGCTCCTTCTGCGGATTAAACAAAAAAAAGCACAACGTTTTCAAAATTACGCATAATTAATCAAATATAATCAAAATTAGAAGGAAATTGATAATGTGTACTGGCGCGAACCTCGGGGTCGTGGACTTGATCGACGATGCAGGGAGAGGCGAGGTGGAAGACACCGGAGCAGCCATTGACGGCGGCGAGTATGGAGTTGTAGTCGAGGAGGTCAATCTGGAAGAGACGGAGGCGCGACTCTGCTCCCTCTACTAACGCTTCTAGATGCTTCGTCTCGTCCTCGTCCTCTGCAACACAGAAAATGACGGCGTTTATTCAATTTAGACTGAAAGCGAATGGAATTGGAATGAAATGAATGGCATTGTGGCAGTTGTGTAGATAAAGTGAAAAGCAGGGGGAAAGTTACTGAGATCCTTGACGGTGGCGTGGACGGTGTAATCACGGTGGAGGAGGAGAAGGACGAGCCAGGATCCAATGCAGCCGCTTCCACCGGTAACGCATACAACCTCACCGTGCTTCGACATCCTCCCTGCAGTGTCCCTCTGCTTTCAGCTGTCAAGTGCTCCAGTTATTTCCAGCCGATTGTTGTTGATGATCAAGATGAATTGGGCCGCGTGCATATTTTTCTTATAGAAAGGCCCAAAACAAAAAAACAGCCATGATACTCAACTCAAGCCCAAAATCTTCTTCTTCTTTTTTTTTTTTTTTTTTTTTTTGCACTTTGCACTTTACACCTTAAATTATTTGCATTTGTACATTATCCAAACGAAGTAAAAAAAATTCAAAGCACTACAATTTCTACATTAGAATACTAGAAATTATCAATCTCGACGTTTGGGATTTCAGAAATCTTGGGCCACTGTCCTTTTTTGCAACGTCTGGCAAGTTGCGAACACGAAGAAATGATAAGATTCTGCAATGGTGTTTTCCATAAGAAGTCTAGCAGTGTTTCTAGGTCAAAGCACTGAATTATATATAAAGAAGAAAGACATGGCATGATTGTAATTTCACAATCCACGTTCCACCCTTTCACGCCTTCTCAGTCCTTGCAAGACGTCAGTCTGTGAAATCGGAGTCGCTTCAATTTTGGGAATAATATTGATGAGGATGATTTGAATGAAGAAGTTGTTTGATCATCATCTCCTACTCCCAAAAACTCGCCACCAACCTTTTTTACACCCAATATCCTCCCTACGTAGAGTTCTTCAAGGAAGGGCAATTTCCCAAGGTGAGGCAAAACTTGACAACCCTTATTCCCTGACAGAATAAGGAATCGCAACTTGTTTAAAGATATCAGCCAATTCGGGAAGGTCGAGCCAAAATACACATCACTGTAATTCCAATCAATCTCTAAATATTCTAGATCATCGTGTGGTCGGAAGACTTTCATTATTTGTACACTGCAGTCTCTAGCCTCGTATACCACTTTTCCAAAATCAAGTTTGAGACGAAAAAGTTGCTTGTTGTCCCTCAATTGTGCTTCACTCACATCTACTTGTTGATATCTTCATTCTTGTAAAATTTGAGAATTTTTGGAAAAAGTCAAATTTTCCGATGTGTGACATTCGATTTATGAATGCTGTTGGTTGAGTATATTTTTGATAAGGTCCGCCACTTGAATACTCTAGCAATTGACGATCTTACCATTGAATTGACACCAAATTTTAGAATGCTATTGTAGATATTGTTTAAGGACTGTAGGGACTTACTAGTGAAAATCTAGTGGTTGGATCTTACGGAGCAAGTGATGTAAGATCATGGACTATACCTTTGATCGACGGTCTGATTCTCATTAAACGTCGTTGTGGGAGACTTATGAGAGTTTTGGGTATGTGAATTTATTGAGAGAAATCTAAATGTGGACTTGTGCTTTGTTTTAGGCAGTGATAGAGCTTGACGCCTTGAATCCCATGCTAGAGTGCGTTAGTGCGGACCTCATGTGAGTGATTTTAATCTATGTGATATGGTTATTACTCTGAAATCTTCTGTGCTAATATACTTTGCGGTTACACCATGGATTCTTAAAATAAGTCTTATGCTAAATAATTGTTGTTATAAAGTTTGCCATTGATCTACTTATGAAACATTATGTGACTTGGGTATTTGAACTGTTGCTGGATTGTGTTTTGAAATATATATTTGATGGTTTGATAAATATGAGAGATTGTAAAGGACCGTTACCCTAGTGTCATGGGGTTAGGTGACACTAAGTCTGCACCACGTAGCAATGGTACATGGATGGTCCTGCTTGGTTAATCCGCGTTAGGGGACCATACTATTTGTGGATCGCGCTTGGTTAATCCACATTGGGCGATCCTTATATCCTAGGTATGGCCATACACACTTAAGGGTGATCATGCTTGGTTAATCCGCATTGGGTGATCACTGCCTAACAGTTCTATAGGTATGACTCTGCTTGGTTAATCCACATTGGGGAGTCACTACCTACTTGGTTATCTTGACCCTGCTTGGTTAATCTGCATTGGGGGACCATGCTACATATGCGGACCGCGCTTGGTTAATCCATATTGGGTGATCCTTATGGCCATGTATGCTTAGGAGTGATCATGCTTGGTTAATCCGCATTGGGTGATCACTTCCTAACAGATGTAAGCGTGACCCTGCTTGGTTAATCTGCGTTGGGGGGGGTCACTGCCTACTAGGTTACTTTCTCAAGGGTGGCTCTGCTTGGTTAATCCGCTTTGGGGGGGGCCACTTTCTGTTTGGTTACTTATGTAGGCTTCGACCGAATTGCTTCCCTCTAGCCCTAGTTTTAATGTATATATGAACGATGGTTTTTGGGAATCTTGGTGGTTTGAATGGGAAAGGCTGTTGGATGTCTGGGTGACTCATTCGGAGTTTTCAGCGACTTGATTATGATTTCATAAAGCATGACTCTATACTCAATGTTTATAGATTATGATCGATGGTATGTTTTTATTGAATATTACATACTTGTATTATTGTCACTCACCCGAGCTTCGCATCTTAACCGAGTTCTGAATTGCTAGTGCATCATTCCCTTGATGTAGGCACTGGATATGACAAGTCTGTGTAAAGTACGAGAAACAACTTGGTGTGGATGCAAATTTCTTCCTCCTTGATCTTGGACGATTTTGCACCTACAAAACAATTAACACCTTAGGTTAAGGCCAAGAGCCTCACGCGCCCACGATGAATGGGGGAGGCTTTGGCCGAAGAACCTCCGATGCCAAAGTTAGAATTTAGAGAGAAAGAGTGTTTAGAGAATTTTGGGATTTTTACCAAAGTGTTGGAATTAGCTTTTTGGTGAGAATGGGAGTATATTTATAGGGATAGGAGGTGGCTAGGGTTTTTAGGTTTAATTAGCCAATTTATTTGGCTATTAAACATAAAATGAATGTTTTGGTGGTTTTTTGTATAATTGGCTAATAAAAAGGAAGAAATGGTGGGAAAAGGTAGAAAAAAGGTAATGGATTAGGTTTTTCAATGGGATAGCCGGCCCTCTTGTGTTTTTAGGTTTGAGTGGATGTTTCAAATTGACAATTAAGGGATTGATTAGGTAATTAATCCCTTAATTAGTCAATTTATTATGATTTTATGAAATATGAAAGGAATAAGTATATTATTTAGCTAATTGATTAGCTAAATAATGAAATGGGAAATATATGAATAAATTAGGTTTTAAGTTGATACCTATTTTGGGCACTTTTGACTTGGTTGAAAAAATGATTCTCTACTGCTCGCGTGTAGGAAACCCGGTATGCCTCGAGGGTATTTTTGTCCTCTTTTGTCCAAAAGTCCATGTGTCGCCTAGTGAATATTTTTGGCTCCACAAATGCCCCCACACCTGTTGGGCTGCTCGCAAAAAAGGGCAGCAGGTGTAGAGATCTTCTTGCTTTAGGAAACTTAAGACTGCTTCCTATTTTGATGTTGATTCTCTCTTTAATAGGAAATTAAATCCTTCTAGGAAAGGGAAATAAATTTCTCTCAAAGCCTATTTAAGTCCACCTTAAGTGGGTTATTAAATCAACTTTGGAGAGCGATTTATTCTACCCTACAAGAGAGAGATAGCTTAGAGGATATTTGTTCCCCCTCCTCTAGCAATCTTCTACATCTTGCCCGTGCAAAGGACCGTCTTTCGTTGCTTTCTTCGTCTTCTTCGTGCCGCACCGATGTAAGAAAAATTTAATTTTTCTTGCCTTATTCTTGGATAGTGCTATTGCGGGGCAGCCGTCGGGGTGGTGCGGCACATCGGCTGGCAGGGGCCAGGAGTTGGCTCGGCATGGGCCGAGGAGATGTTGTGGCAGGGACCACTGCTTGGGCAGCTTGGCTTGGCTTGAGCCAAAAGGCAGCTTATGCAACTAGGGTCGCGGATTGTGGCGCTGGGGCGCAGTGCTAGGCGAGCCGCATGGCTCATGTCCTTTGGGCTCTTGGACCTGACTCGGGCCAGGCTGGTGATTGAGAGAAATAAGGAGATTGCGGGTCTCATGGGCTGCTGGAATGTTGGGCATGCAGGCCTCCTGCCTGTTGGAATGCTAGGTTGAGCTCCCCTGCTGAGTACCATGAATGTCGTTGGCTGCTTAGTCCTCTTTGCCGAAAGAAATGTGGGCTGCTCCAGAAAGAGGAGGTAAAGATGATCAAGGCGGATGCATTGGCTCGTCTGATCGCTGTCGTGGAGCTTACTATGAATGAAGATGGAAAGAAGAGATCTTCCCCGCCTGCTCATGAGATGCCAGTTAAGAAAAAACTGAAGACTTCTTCTGCTGCTCATGAGGGTCCGCTTGCTACCGAGAGGTATGTGATTGACATGATTTTCCAATGGGAAGAAATGTAAGGCTGCTAAATCTGAGCATGTGGCGTCTTCCATGTTGAGAATGGCTAGTACAATTGTGGATAAGATTACTCAGCGTAAAGGTTTTATCATGCCCCCAGTGCCGAAGTCTGTAGGACGTTCTTTGGGAGCCAAGTCCGGTTCACCTTTGTAGAGACTTGCTATTATGAAGAGTGGTAAGGTGGACTCTGCTGCTAAAGTGGCGCCAAAGCCTGCTCCCTTTGCTGCTGAGATTTATTCGCCTCAGATTCAAGATCTTAAGCTTGCAATTTCTGAGCTTCGTTTCGCTACTTATGCTAAGAAGAGAGTGGATGAGCTTCTCTATTTCTCCGGAAGACTTGCTTGCTTTTACTTTTAAGGCTTCCATTGGTGAAGTAGTTGGAGAAGTTAGTGCCCAGACTGGGGCGGCCGGGGGTGAAGCGCCGAATGATGCCGCTGCTAAGAGCGTTACGGCTGTTGAAGGTGTGGCGACCGAGTAGTCGTGGAATGTCCAAGCTGCTGTAGTGTAGTATTTTAGGTAGCCTTTAGGATTTTCTTTGTTTTTCCTTGTAGCTTTTGTTTTGCTTGAACTCCTTCAACCTTTGCTAGTTGTTTATAAATATGTTTTCCTTCGTTTTTCTTCATCTTCACTTTTTTTGTTCATGCCCTAACCTTTAGACTTGATAGACCAGTGGCAGGCATGCTACTTTTTTATAAGCAGACAAACTCGCGTAGCCTATGCAGCCGTAGGTGTTGGTGTAGAACTTTGCAAAGTTGTTAGCCATAGGGTTGGCA